ACTTCTCTCAAGTCAAGGCCATCATCATCTTGCCTCCTGGCCATAAGGGAATACTCTATCTCCTAGCCTCCCCTGCAGTTAGAGTTGGGTCAGCGTGATTGAGTTCTGACTATTGGGCATACACCAGTGTTGTAGATCACTTCCAGGCCTGCCTGTAAAACCCCTAAGCCATCATCCAACTATTCGCTTTCCTGATAATAGTAAAAGGCCATGTATTAAAGACAGCAGTGTCAATATGTGGGCAGATCCTGGATTTTCAAGTTACTCTTAAGAGTTGCCTAGGAGAGTTGTACAACTTGACTCGTGTATTATATGATCAAGAACCTTTATGGTGTTAAGACACTGATTTTTAGGCCAGGCATGGTGGCTCACACCTGTAATCCCAGCACTTTGGGAGGCCAAGGCAGGTGGATCACTTGAGGCTAGGAGTTTGAGACCAGCCTGGCCAACATGGCAAAACCCTATCTCTGTAAAAACCCTACACAAAAATTAGCTGGGCGTGGTGGCATGTGCCTGTGGTCCCAGCTATTTGGGAGGCTGAGGCAGAGAATCACTTGAATCCAGGAGGCGGAGGTTGCAGTGAGCCGAGATCACACCATTGCACTCCAGCCTGGGCAACAGAGCAAGACTATGTCTCAAAAAAAACAAAAAGACACTGATTTAAAAAAAAATTATTTCTTTCCAAGGCACAGCTCAGCTTATCTCAGTACCTTCCCAACTAGTCTCTGATTCTCCTTTGTTTCATTTGGATGCCCATAACTGCAAAAGTAATCCTCTTAAAGCACAAATCGGATCACCATGCTCTTGTCTGTAACACTTCCAAGGCTTTGTGTTGTACTTAGAATAAAAATCCAAACTCCTTAAAAAAGCCTACAAGGCCCTGCATAATCTGGTTTCCGACTCTTTCCAACCTCACCTCAACCTGTTCTCTCTCCTTATTTACTGTCTGGCCAACTTGTCTCCTTTCAGTCCTTTCTCCCATTAGGGCCCACGCATGTGCATGTTCTTCCCTCGGCTTCTAACATTCTGCCTCTTATTTTTGCTCTTCACATGGCCAACACAATCTCATCTTTTGGGGCTTGGCTTACAATCAAGCTTCTCTAACCCGTAACATAGGACAGCTTTGAATGTGGCACAACACAAATTTGTAAACTTTCTTAAAACATTATGAGATTTTTCTGCAATTTTTTTTTTTTTTTTTTGGCTCATCAGCTATCATTAGTGTTAGTGTATTTTATGTGTAGCCCAAGACAATTCTTCTTCCAATGTGGCCCAGGGAAGCCAAAAGATTGGGCACCCCTTGGCCTTACATGGTAGCTTTAGAAAGAGACCTTCCTTTACCACTCTATTTGATAGGAGGTTCCTCCTTGTTTTCAGCTTAACTTTTTTTCTTGTTTGCCTCACAAGTAGCATCTGTGCCCTCAGAAAAATGTAATTCAGATGTTATCAGAGTCAGAGGATCCTACAACTGCTCTACATCCCCCAAAGCAAGAGGCAAATCTACTGCATTTTGACGTAATCTACATTTAAATAGTCCCATTCCTAAACCCGGAAAGTATATTAAGAAGATTAATGAAGCTTGCTTAGCTTTGCATTTCCTCTCTATCCTATCCTCTGATATTAGCAATGCTGTAGCAGTGGGTGAACTGGTTGAGATACACATTTTAGTTTCAGTTTCACCAACAGTGTGAATATTTATGGATTTCATTAGTCTTCTCAACTTGCTAAGTGATGCTTAACATAATTTGAATACTCTAATAAAGATATTTGTGTTCTTATCAGGATCATGTGATCCTATTATTGTTACTACTGTTATTGAGATGGAGTCTCACTCTGTCACTCACGCTGGAGTGCAGTGGCACAATTATGGCTCACTGTAGCCTTGATTCACTCAAGCAACCCTCCCATCTCAGCCTCCCAAGTAGCTGGGACTACAGGTGCATGCCACCACACCTGGCTAATTTTTTTGTTATTTGTTGTTGTTGTTTTGTTTTTTGTAGAAACAGGGTCTTACTGTGTTGCCCAGGCTGGTCTCAAACTCCTGGCTTCAAGTGATACTCCTGCCTCAATCTCCCAAAGGTGCTGAGATTACAAGCATGAACCACTGTGGTTGAAATACTCTGTCTCTTATAGTTGTTATAATATTCAGAATCTAACAAAAACAATATTTATAGGAACATATCTGCTTTAATCTTGTTTATAATTCTAACTTCACATTTATTTTAACAGACAGAAAACAGTATTTAATCACTTATAGGGTTAATTTTTCTTGTATTCTCTGTGTAGGAGACTGTTGGTAAAGACTCAATTAAATTTACCTAATATTTGTTGAAAATTTAGGTGCCAGGTGTAATATGGGGTTAAAAAAATAAGACATAGTTGTTTCTCCAGGATTTAAAAGCTAGTTAGGAAAACACAATACATAATTTCACAAAATAATATAAAACTTCTCAAAAGCAAATTTCAGCCTTTATTGTAAAGTGAGAGACACATAAAAGATTCCTGGTAGAAAACAAAATAGCTATTCTCTCTAGGTCCACACCTGATGTCAGAGTGAACAGTAGCAGCTATTGGATGAGGTGTCAGCCATGTGCAACATGTTGAAGTAATAACATTCTATGGCAAGATATTCTAATTTTTAAAGATTTATAAAATATACACAAAGTGAAAGTGGCTCTGTAAAACTGCATCATTTAACACTTTGACTATAACAAAAAAATTGACTTTGGTCTTAGCTCAGAATAGATGAAGCTGGAAACATATTATTGCTATTTGACCTTTGATGTAGCTAGGGAAGCAGTCATACTAAACATGGATATGCTTTTTGCTTGTTGATGAAGGTTTATTGTTGTTTTTAACTTTACTGGTTGTCCCATGAAAAATCTAAAATTTTGAAAGAAAAGACCAGGTATGGTGGCTTCATGCTGAGTATCTCAGCACTTTGGAAGACCAAGGCAGAAGGATTGCTTGAGGCCAGGAGTTCGAGACCTGCTTGGGCAACATAAGGAGACCTCATCTCTGCTTTAAAAAAAAAAACAAAAACAACAACAAAAAAAGCCAGGCATGGTGCACACTTGTACATAAAGCTACTCAGGAGGCTAAAGTGGGAGAATCACTTGAGTCTTGGAGGCTGAAGCTGCACTGAGCCGTGACTGCACCAACTGCACTCTAGCCTTGCTGACAGAGTGAGACCCAGTCTCAAAAAATGTTTTTAAATAAAGAAAATAAAATCTTGAAAGAACAGTAAGTAAAATCAAATTCAGGAATGAATCTCAAACTGCAAAATTAATCACAGGGACAGCATTAGTTCACAAGACCATTCAGATTAAAAGTAGTTATTTTTCTCAAGATGAAGACTGAGCAGAAAAACAAGTGGCAGAAGCTGCAAAGCTCAGGGTTCTGAAACCTGATGGCATATTGATACAAGTCATTAGAACACACCCATCACTTATATCAACATCTTTTTTCAATTATCCTTCTCCTGTCCACCTGCCCTCTGTTCTCACTCACTGCTTATGAAAGATCAGAGCAGGAAAGAGCTGGATTATTTACAGAATCTGTGAAACAAAGTAATGTTATGCCTGTTCTCTTTCTTCCAAAAATGGAAAATTACCATACTTTGCTTTGTTATTAAGTGACAGAAAAGCCCTTAGGAGAATGTCCAACTGAAAAACTTGAGAACAATAATTTGTTAGTTTAAAATAATCATAGATCTAAGTTTCAAACTTTAGCTGGTAAATATGATAGTCTTCTTTAGACGTACGTTTAACTAAGAAGAGAATGTGATTGAAGTCTTTTACTGTCCTAAATTCCCCTATGCAAATTTTGTCAGTAAAAAATTATTAGCACTCAAGATGGGAAAGTTGGAACATTTTTCACCTCCTCTTGAATCTAGTCTTACAGGTATAATTTCATTGCTTTAAGTAACGTGAACTCTATACATTTCAGAAAATACATACAAAAGGCAAATATAAGAACACATACAAAAACAACTCACACACAGTGTATCTTCTCAATTTGTTAGGCAGTCCCTATTGTTTACAACACAAATTGGCATATGCGTGAGAAGACAAGCTCACCCATTTAAGGTCTCTAAGGACTCATGGCTGTATGTTGCCTCTTTGCTTTATATCCTGTTTGTATCTTATACAAAAGCAGCAATTTCACAGAGAAATGATTACTATATGCAAATACATTCACTGTGCTATAGATACTTCTTAGTCTTTTGACTGCACAACACTGACAACACTTCAGAATTGAACTACCATTCTCATGCAGTCTATGTGTTGTCCTTTGTAAGAATGATATACTAATATACATATATAGTTTATATATATAATATATATATATATAATATAATTCTTATTACTCTGTGTGTGGCTGCATTTATGTTTGCAGTGGTAGCAATTATTTGGTATTAAGCCCTGACCAAATTCTCCCTGAGAGCAACAGAATCTTCTGAAATACCACTGGTTGGGGTTAGGGATGCAATTTATAGTAGACCAAGTAGAGCCTTCTAAGGCTCATTAACTGATGCTCTAAGGAAATGATTCTCTGACCACAGACAAAATGGAGCCAATTTTCATTGACCGCTGTCCCACAGCATATTAACATACGATATGCTGCCCTAAAGCCCTTGACAGATGCATTACCTAGTTGGACATTTCCTTCTGGTCAAAAAATTAGCTATAGAATTTACATAATTTCAACTATCAGCAGTTCTATATGCCGAAAGGATCATGCAGGAACAGTAAAATTTGTTACAAGATGAACAAACCTAAAACTCTAATGAAGTTAAGTCCATCCAGAGGGATGAAACATAACACACACACTGATACTCCCATCACAAGTTAATTTCACCATGTTTCTCAGGATGTATTAAAACAGTCTTATTCTAAGGACCTCCCCTACTCATTTATAACACCTTCAAAGCTACAATAAGTGAAAGCAGAGACTAAGAGAGAAAATAACTAACCCACAGAACTCACAAAGATGGTTACCTGGTAGTCTGGTTTTGTAAAATAATCCAAAGAAGAGATATGGTCTAGAAAGATGCTGAATTCTGGAGGGAGATGTTTCAGCATGAGCCTGTGGTCATATCTCTCCTTAATAGAGCCTACTTGCTCCTGGGAAGTAAAGAGAAAAAGAGCTACAGTCAATTTCTCTTGGCGGTTAGGCATTAAGAGCCCCTCAGTAGCCGTCTCAAGGGTATATACTAGGGAATGAGATAGTGGGTAATTAAGTATAAAGCAAGAACTGAGCTCTTACTAACAGCTTAATGTACAATGTTTTAAAATGGAAAAAAACTATTATGCAGAACCAAACAAGTACTACAGAGTTCTGCATCAGTATATTGATAGTCCCCAAAAGAAATTATTTAATTTAGTTTTCTGAGACAGGGTCTTGCTCTGTCGCCCAGGCTGAAGTGTAATGGCATGATCACAACTCACTGTAGCCTCAACCTTTGAGACTCAAGTGATTCTCCTGCCTCAGCTTCCCAAGTAGCTGGGACTACAGGCACATGCCACCATGCCCAGCTAATTTTTAAAAATTTTTTGTAAAGATGGGGGTCTTGCTATGTTATCCAGCCTGGTCTTGAATTTTTGGGCTCAAATGATCCTCTTGCCTCAGCCTCCCAAGGTGCTAGGATCATAGATGTGAGCCATTGCACCCATCTCAGAATAATTTATCTTAAATCTGATCTACTTTTCTTTATGAACACATGTGTTTACAGTTTTCTAAATCAAACAATATAATGTGACAATCAAAAACTAAAAGTTTACTTGACTTACAAAAACAAAGGGGAGAACTAATAAAATTAAAAGCTAAGATGGAAGGCTATAAATTAATCAGAAGCAATTAGTGTCCATTCTCCATGTACACAGAAAAATCTCATAACATTAATTTGATCTCTAATGTCAGCTCAGAGAGAAAAATATATATACTGGGATATAGTAAAAGTGCTTATAGATTTTAAGTCTTATACATAAGTATATTTTCAACAAAAATGTTTATTCAGGAGAAATTTTTATTTCTTCCACCAAAATTGACATCTCCATTCCCAAAATTACCTTGTCCTTTATTTTTCTCCATGGCAGCTGACCAACCACAAACTCCACTAACATGTAGAATAAGGACCAAAGGTCATCATGTCTTCCCATTTCCTTCATAAACAAAACAAAATCCAGTCACATTACATTACTATTACTTGTGAGTACATTACATTGGTCAAGGCCTAACCATTTTGTTTCACCTTATTAGGTGAAAAATGTAAATTGATTTCCCAAAAAATTATATGGTAAATATATATATAAATTTACATAGCAATACAGCAATCTATATGGCAGAATATATAAATTGAAAAACCTTTTGAAACAAAGGACACCCCAAAACATGGAAATGCTGGAAATAATATAACAGCCTGTTAGTTAATGTGTTCATTTAGAAGAAAGAGAACTCTTAAAAGCTTTTTTTTTTTTTTTTTTGAGACGGAGTCTCACTCTGTCGCCCAGGCTGGAGTGCAGTGGCCGATCTCAGCTCACTGCAAGCTCCGCCTCCTGGGTTCACGCCATTCTCCTGCCTCAGCATCCCGAGTAGCTGGGACTACAGGCGCCCACCACTGCGCCCGGCTAATTTTTTGTATTTTTTAGTAGAGATGGGGTTTCACCGTGTTAGCCAGGATGGTCTCGATCTCCTGACCTCGTGATCCGCCCGTCTCGGCCTCCCAAAGTGCTGGGATTACAGGCTTGAGCCACCGCGCCCAGCCCAGCTTTTTTTTTTTAAAGGTGGAAATAAGGGAAGCAAGCTGCTCCTGAAGTTTTGGCTGCTCTGGGGGCATCTGTCGTCAGCGTATCCACCAGGAAGGGGACAGGCATAAACTCCTACATGGGACGGGAGTTGTAACTGAGATACATGCCACCCCCACCATATAGCTAGGGCCCTAAAAGGGTTACATCCGTAGTGTAGTATTTGGTGTGTACCTTAGACTATAATAATTGTTTTCTGTAAAATTTAACTGCTATCAAAAGAAAAAAATAAGTTTTTAAAAAATTGCCCTGAGAATTTGTTACCATAGGCCTGTCCCTCATTTAGACTGGGGGGTTAAATATATACCTGTGTGGTCTGAAAAACCAAGGGTGATCATGCCCTGCAGGAATGACAGAAGCAAATTTGTCCTCTCAGGATAAATACATCCCTAAATTCAGACCTCATAGAGGTGCTATACAAAAAGCCTCACCAAATGTTCATTATTCAGATTTATAAAGTATATTAATAAGCTAATGTCAAAAGAAGCTACAAAAAGTAGAAAAAAGTATCCAAGGATTTCAGAAATGGAATCATAGGATACAAAGAATGTTTAAAATGTTAAAATGAAAAATGGAATCAGTCACCAGAAAAGAATCATATTCAATAAAAACAAACCAAAACCCAACCAGATTTGAAAAATGACTAAAAAGAACATCTAGAAATAAAAAGCACAATTATGGAAATTAAAAACTCAATGGACAGGTTTAAAAGCTGATCAAACACAGCAGAAAAAAATCAATTGGAAAATAGATCTGAAAAAATCTATTTTCCAATTGAAAATAGATTATCAATTTTCTAGAAACGCAGAAAAAATTATCTAGAATGCAGCACAGAGACACAAAGAATTAGAAAATCCAGTAGTGAACTTAAAAGTACAAAGGACAGCATAAGAAAACCTAAGAAAGTCTAATACATCAATTTGGTGACTGGGCAAAAAGGGTATAAAGGGAAAAAGGGAATATGAGAATCTTCCAGAATCGAGGAAAGACATGAACATTTTGGTTAGGAAACACATCAAATCCCAAACAGATAAATATCTAAAAATCCACACCTAGGCACATTTGAATGCAGGACTCCAAAGACAGAAGATACCAAAAGTATTCAAATAAAAAGGACAAATTGGCTAGGCATGGTGGCTCATGCCTGTAATCCCAGCACTTTTTGGGAGGCCAAGACAGGTGAATTGCTTGAGCTCAGGAGTTCCAGACTAGCCTGGGCAACATGGCAAAGCTCCGTCTCTACAAAAACTACAAAAATTAGCCAGGTGTGGTGGCGCATACCTGTGGTCCCAGCTACGCAAGAGGCTGAGGTGGGAGGATTGCTGGAGCCCAGGAGGTCGAGGCTGCAGTGAGCCGAGATCATACCAGTATACTCCAGCCTAGGCAACAGAGCAAGACTCTCCCAAAAAATAAAAAATAAAATAAAATTTTAAAAAGGACAAATTAAGGCCGGACGCGGTGCCTCATGCCTGTAATCCTAGCACTTTGGGAGGCCGAAGCTGGTGGATTGCCTAAGCTCAGGGGTTCAAGACCAGCCTGGGCAACATGGTGAAACCCCGTCTCTATTAAAAAATACAAAAAATTAGCTGGGTGTGGTGGCGTATGCCTGTAATCCCAGTTACTCAGGAAGCTGAGGCAGGAGAATTGCTAGAACCCAGAAGGCAGAGGTTGCAGTGAGCCAAGATCACGCCATTGCATTCCAGCCTGGGCAAGGGAGGGCGAGAGAGCAGGACTCCATCTCTTAAAAAAAAAAGTAACAACAATTAAATAAAGTAACAAAGATGTTTTCAACAGTGACCCAAGAAGCAGAAGAAAGTAATTTTTTTGAAGTATTGAGATAAATATTAACAAGATTAAAATGTAAAACAACAATAAGACAGTATGACAGAGTTCAAGTGTTTTTTTGTTTTGCTCATTTTTTGAGACAGAGTCTCGCTGTAGTCAGCCCAGGCTGGAGTGCAATGGGGCACTATCGGCTCACTGCAACCTCTGCCTCCCAGGTTCTAGCAATTCTCCTGCCTCAGCCTCCCGAGTAGCTGATATTACAGGCGCCTGCCCACCACACCCGGCTAGTTTTTATATTTTTAGTAGAGACTGGGTTTCACCATGTTGGCCAGGCTCAAGTGTTTTTAAAAGTCCTTGTATTATTTAAGAATTATTTATGTTAAAACTTTAAGATTTGGCAAGGCATGGTGGCTCATGCATGTAATCCCAGCACTTTGGGGGGCTGAGGCTAGAAGACTGCTTGAGGCCAGGAGTTTGGAGACCAGCTTGGGCTACATAGCAAGACTGTCAATACAAACAATTAAAAAATTAGCCAGGTACAGTGGTGTGCACCTGTGGTCCTACCTACTGAGAAGGCTCAAGCGGGAAGACTGCTTGAGCCCAGGAGTTCAAGGTTATAGTAAGCTATGATCCTGCCACTACACTCCAGCCTGGGCAACAGAACAAGACCCTGTCTCTAAAAAGTAAAGTTTAAGGAACCAGAAAAAGAGAAATGGAGTGTATTATTTTTAGATATTATCAAATCAGGGATTCAGAGTATGGAAAAAAGAAGCATGTTAGAATTATCTGGGAAACCTTTTAAGATTAGACAAGCAACTCTGGAAGTTCCAAGAGCTGCACTCCTGCATCACCTCACAAATTAACAATCATTGTGAACTACATTACTGAGTAAAAGCATTCTACCCCTCAGGTGTGCTGGGAGCAGGAAAGAGGGTTAAGAACCACTGCTATATACTATATAACCTCTACAAGGTTAGAAGAGTAACAAATAAGCAAGTTATCAAAGTAACTGTTAAAGGACACTACACTGGAAAGGCTTTTAGAAGAAATTGCCGCTGTCTAAATTAAAACAATAAAAGTACATAATCTCTTTCTATTCGCTATTTTGAAAATGCTTATGTAGCTATTATAATCTCTGAAAATACTTACATTTATCTTAAAAATAATGTACTTTCACAGATTCCAATGTTGACATAATTCTTTAATAAAATTAATTGGAAAACCTAGTATTTCTAAACTTTTATAAGAATCTATCAGGAAAAGAAGAGAAATTCTTTTCAAGGCAAAGTAAATGACTAGATAACATAAAATAAAGCAACATTGAATCAAACCAAATGAGTTTAAATGCTTGGCAGAGTGCTACACACTGAGAAAAATGGCTTTACTATTTTCAATTTATAATCACACCATAGGAAACCAAATTAACTGGAGCACAGCATTTAAGATCACAGTATACTCTTCCTATTATATGTTGGTCAAGTTCTCATTAAAGCAATTTTGGCTTATCAGAACAGGAACAAGGTAAAGAAAAGAATCAAGAAAAAACACTTTTCTCCCTATTTTATCAAGGAATCACTTGTTAAGCTTCTCAACTCCATGCAAAAAAAGTTAAAGGATTGATAATCCATAAAAATGCCCACTTTTCCTACTCATAAAGTTCGGGATGAAGGGGAAAAAGTCAGCGCAGAACAAAGGGACCAAAGGAAGGGGGTGAGGGAGATATTTTTAAAATTTAACCCAAGAGGAAAGGGATAATTTACTAAAATGAACATTTTTAAATTGTCAGTACTTGAAATCTTCAGGAAAACAAAAGGTTTGGTAGGGAGAGGGATATCACAGATTAGATACGTATTACAGACAAAATGATGACTCCACATTTCATTAGGTATTGATAGTATTATATTACCAAATAATTTCTTGAAATAGTACACAGGTGTTCAATCTCTTCCAAATTCTCTCTCTATATATATATGTATCTTTTTTGAGACGGAGTCTTACTCTGTTGCCCAGGCTGGACTGCAGTGGTGTGACCTTGGCTTACCACAACCTTCGCCTCCCAGGTTCAAGTGATTCTCTTGCCTCAGCCTCCCAATTAGCTGGGACTACAGGCGCATACCACCATGCCCAGCTAATTTTTGTATTTTTAGTAGAAACGGGGTTTCACTATGTTGGCCAGGCTGGTCTCGAACTCCTGACCTTGTGATCTGCCCACCTTGGCCTCCCAAACTTCTATATTAAATTTGTTAATACTTATATCTAATTAAGGACACAGATTCCCCATAGACATAAATACACTTAGCGATTGTCTTTTCTGGCAAATTCAATTTTATTTTCCAAGCAGCTGCACATATCTATTATCCACGATACACTATACCTTGCATTAGTATTACCAATTCCATTACCATCAGTGCCACACAAGAATGAATTAGAACAAACATTTCAAGCAACTTTGTAGCTATTAAAGGGATCCTCAACTCTCAAGCACTTTCCATACCTTTGTTTTTATTAAGAAGTCAATCTCACTTTGGGAGGCCAAGGCAGGTGAATCATGAGGCCAGGAGTTTGAGACCAGCCTGGCCAATATGGTGAAACCCCGCCTTTACTAAAAATACAAAAAATTAGCTGGGCGTGGTGGTGGGCACCTGTAATTCTAGCTACTCAGGAGGCTGAGGCAGGAGAATCACTTGAACCTGGGAGGCAGAGGTTGCAGTGAGCTGAGATCACACCACTGACTCCAGCCTGGGGGACAGTGCAAGACTCTGTCTCAAAAAAAAAAAATAGTATAAAATAATAATAACAATAAAATAAAAAAGAAGACAATCTGATTTAAGCTATTAGCATACTTATACAGATATGACTCCAGTTCAGATACCTACCCTGTTCCGATGTGCATTGATTGATGCATAACGAACTGTCCCTCGAAAGCCTGCCACAGCTCGAGGCTACAACAAAGCCATGCAAAGAATAATAAATGAGTTTCAAACAGCAATACACTCAGCACACTTGAACCCATGAAGTAAATGCAAGAAACATGTCTTTTATTGTCACAATAAAACACTATTTAATTTCTAACTTTTAACTATGAAATTACAAGAAACTAGAGAGATTATCTCTAAATCACATCTTTAAAAAAAAACACTGATAAAATTGTAATTTTCAGTTCCGTTTTTTCCTACCTACATTTTAAAATACAGGGGCATTTATGACATCTATACAACTCTGTATATTAGAAAATATTAAATGCTTTCATATACCCATAATCATGATAAGCATCATAGTATATACATTAATATTCAGGTTCTGGATACAAATAAATATATTTAGATGGTGAGGAATCACTAAGTAACCTGAGATACCAAGCTCTTCATACCTTGGCTATTTCATTCAAACTCAATTCAAAGGTAGTGGTAACTTGTACCCTACCTTCATATGCAATTCATGTATTAAAAATTCAAGTTATTGGGTGCTTAGTATGTGCCACATACTAGAAATAACACCAACATGAAAAATATACGATCCTAGTCCTCAGAGAACTCAACTTAGAATAAAGTCCAGGCTTTTTACTTAGCCTATAAGACTTCATGATCTGGCATTTGTCTCCTTTCACAATGGATTTACCGTGGTTTCTTTTATGACCAATTTTAGTTTTAGCTCAAAACAGTGCACACGATTCTCTCCAGTTGGAATCCCAGCTCCTTGAATCTCTCCAATCTACTCCATTTTAAGGCTTCTGCTCACATATCACCTCCTCAGAGAAACTTCCCTTAATCATTCTAATCTAAAATACTACTCCCCCCATCTGTAGTGCCACTCTATTCTTTCACTCTGCTTTATATCTTTTTAACACCTTTACTACCCCCACATCAATTTTATTTATATTCTTATTCTGTTTATTGCCCATTTGTTTAGATTTTAATTTTTTTTAAGAGATGAGGTCTCACTCTGTAGCCCAGGCTGTAGTGCAGTGGTATAATCATAGTTCACAGCAGCCTCAAATTCCTGGGCTCAAGTGATCCTCCTGCCTCAGCCTCCCAAGTAGCTGGAACTACTGGAGTGTGCCACCACATAGGGTTAATCTATTTTAATTTGTTTACTGGCTGTCTTCTTTTAGTCCATGGAATATAAACTCTGTGTGGGTGAGGTCTTTGTCTTGCTCATTTTGCAATTATAGATATAGACTCTGACAGGTATGTAACTTGTCTAAGGACACACAAATCAGTAAATAATAAAATTAGGCATTAACTAAGGTCTTTCAACATTGTCTCCATTCTACCGCTCCCCAAGAATCAAGTAAGTACCCTGAGGATTTGTGGGTGGCACTGTAGCTCAATATGAAAACTGACAAACTTGAAAATGATCATAGACAAACTTTTCATTAGTATAATTTTTTTTTTCTTAAGTAACCTCAAATTTTTCTCAATTAGCATGTATTACTTTTGTAGTCAGAAAAGACAGTAAAAAATCCTGGCCAGGCGCACTGGCTCACATCTGTAATCTCAGCACTTTGGGAGGCTAAAATGGGCAGATCACAAGGGCAAGAGATCGAGACCATCCTGACCAACATGGTGAAACCCCATCTCTACTAAAAATACAAAATTAGCTGGGCATGGTGGTGCATGCCTGTAATCCCAGCTACTCAAGAGGCTAAGGCAGGATAATCACTTGAACCCGGGAGGTGGAGGTTGCAGTGAGCCGAGATTGTGCTACCGCACTCCACTCTGGGCGACAGAGTGAGACTCTGTCTCAAAAAAAAAAAAATCCTTACCAGAATAATTTGGTCATATGTTACCACATAGGATAAACAATCTATGTGTTCTTCCTCCATTTTCTCATTTTATAATCTATGTTTAATCAAGTCAGCTATTTCATTTCTTCCTTCATTAAATACTCTCTTTCCCTTTACTTTTGTTTGGTTTTTAAGACACCTATTTTAAAATATTCTCTATTTAATGGCAAGTCTCAGTAATTAAAAGTTCCTGCAATCTTTAAAAAAAATCCCCATTATTTTCTTAGCTGCCATTCATTGACAATCATAGTCATTGGATCCCAATATTTTCCTAAGACATCATGGTTAACAGGAATACCTAATATGCTCAATTTGGTTGATGGAACTAAGGTTGGAGAGTTTTCTTTTTAGAAGAAAAATGTCTAAGAGAATATATGAAAATCTACTACTATGAATCTTTTTCAGTTAATAACGTTTCAGAGGTTGTATTTTTATTCATTACCTGACATGAGCCTTCAGTTAACACAGAATTTTTTGTGTGTGTTATATAATTTTGCCCAATTATTTTCATTCCAGTAACTGTCAGAATGAAAACCTCCAGACTTATTATCACATTCTACAGCCTAGTCCACAGCTGATTGGGCATCTGGACTTCTCCCTGATGGATTCTAGCCAAGACAAGCCCAGGAGACTCTTTCTACTTAAGAGTTTCCCTGGCCTGGCTCTGACCTTACTTCTGCCATAGAAAGGCTGAAATAGAGATAAAGAGAAATCAGCTGTTTAGAGAAATCTTGAGATAAGTAGTCAAAGAAATAACACCAGTTTGCATATCTCATCTAATTCTAATAGAAAAAGAAATAATGTCAGATCAAGGAAATTCAATCACCTTATTTAATGTAGTAAAGACAACTCAAACCCAACTGGGGAAAAACAGTCATGTATGCAAATGATTCCAATTTAAAGCAGATTATAATGAATACCATTAGTGAAGCACCATGAAATATAAACACTTGGGAGTGGTAAGGATTAGTTCCATGTAGTACGAGGGAGGAAGGACAAGTCTTAGGAGTAGGCAGCACTTTACTGGGTCTTGAAACAAATAATCTCTTGAAACTTCCTCAATTGATGGCACTTTGCCAATATTTATCAAAATTGTAAATGCATATATTCACTTTGTCTCACAATTTCACTTGTGGAAATTTATCTCACAGATATACTTGTATGTGCAAAAATAGTGGATGTAGTCAGTCACTACCATCATTGTTTGTGATAGCAAAAGATTGAGGGCAACCTAAATGTCTGCCAATAGGAGACTCTGATTAAATAAATTATAGTATGTCCAAATAATGGAATACATTCTGAAGTTGCAAAAAAAAAAAAAAAAGAGGGGCCAGGCACGGTAGTTCATGGTTATAATTCCAGAACTTTGGGGAGTCTAAGGCAGGAGGATCACTTGAGGCCAGGAGTTCAAGACCAGCCCAGGCAACATAGTGAGACCCTGTCTCTGGACAAAAAAAAAGAAAAAAAAAAAGAATTAAAGAATTAGCTGGGCATGGTGGCATGCACCTATAGTCCCTGCTACCAGCTACTTGGGAGACTGAGGTGGGAGAATCCCCCAGCTACTTAGGAGGAGGATGCGGTAGGAGGACCTCTGAGTCATGGCTATAGTGAGCTGTGATCATGCCACTCCACTCCAGCTTGGGTGACAGAGCGAGACCCTGTCTAAAAGAAAGAAAAAAAAAAGAATGAGGAAGTTCTATATACCAACATGGAAAGATCATCTAGATACACTGTCAAGTGAAAAAAAAGAAAGGTATAGAATGTATATCATGCTACCTTTTTAATCAAAAAGGTAAAAATAAGAATGTTTTCATTTGTATTTATGTGCATGTGAATAAAATAATTCTGGAAGACTATATTAAGAAACTAGTAACAGTACAGCTACCTAAAGGTGACGTAGGGAGTGAGGGGAAGAATCAGAGACAATATAGGAAATGAGTAGTTTGGAATAGCCAGAGGTGAAAGGAGATTATTTTTATTTTCACTGTTACTTTTTAATTTTCTTTTCAAGTCAGGTTAAAATTTACTCCTGAATTACTGGAGTATCAATTTACTTACAATAAAATTCATACTTTATGTATACCAGGTTTATGAGTTTTTTGACCTGATATAAAGTCACATAACCACCACCACAGACTAAGATATCAAATATTTCTATCCACTCCCAATAGGTTCCTTAAGGCTTTGAGGTCCATCCCTCCCACCGCTAGTCTCCTGACAACCATGATTTCCTGGTCCCCTTGGTCCCAGCAACTTAGTATTGTCTGGTTTTGTTTAAACCATTCTAATTTGGGTAAGGCGTGGGTATCCATTGCCAGGGGTTTATTAAATATTTTTGCATTTCCCTGAGTAACTAATGATATTGACCATCTCTTAAATATCTTATTTGCCATTTGTATCCCTCTTCTTTGATAAAATGTCTATTCAAATATTTAGCCCACCTTTTACTGTGTTGCTTTCTTTTTATGAGTTGTATGAGTTGTTCCCATAGATCCTGGGAACATAAAAACCTTTATCGGCGATGTTGGTGTTCCGTGCAAATATTTTTTTCCCCATCCGTTGACTTGTCTTTTTCATTTGCCTTCCGACAGTGGGTCTTTCAAGAGCATAAGGTGGGTTTAATTTTGATCATTTTTTAAATTCTTAACCTTTTGCCATCAAACATGAATATGTTACCTATTTGAATTTATATTTTTAAAATATTTTGAAAGAAAGAGAAGTAAGTGAATATTTAACAATGCCTATGAGCATATTATTTGAAAAATCCTAGATTATTCAAAGATGAAAACAAAGAAAAATAAATCGGCCTTGAGAGCTGACCCGGAAATTACAACAGAAAAATGAGATGCCATTTTAAGTCCCAAATAACATAGTTAAATGCCCAAGAGGCGAGGAAAGTACTGTTGGTGTTAGGAAACAAATTCTGGTATTGACCTGTACCTGACCATGAGAAAAGGAAAAAAACAGGAAAATAGGTTTAATCAGATTAGGGAGGATTTCAAATGTCCAAACTAAAATCTTCCTTTAATTTTGGTTTATAACGTAAGGCGCTAGTGGAACATTCCATAAATATTTTTTTAGGCTGGGTGTGGTGGGCTCACGCCCTGTTCCTGCAGGCACTTTGGAGGCCCGAGGAACGGTGATCACGAGGTATCC